CACTGTTGTTACTCGGTTGTTTTTGCTTCCCTTATATCTCTTATGCCATCTTCTGGTTCCTTTCATCTGTCTGTATGATTTTATTGGTATGCTTGTTTCTCTGGTATCATATGTTGGGACCACATGCTAATGATTTTGCCTTATCCTCACTGGTTTGCTGTCTCTCCTGTGCTCCTTCTTTTCCTTTCTCTGTCTCCTGTCCTCCTGCTTCCTCTTCTCTCTTTGCCATCACTTTCTGTTCCTCTTCCTATTTGATCTTTCACCTCTGGGGCTGTCAGTCTTGGCGATGACTGTCTTATAGGCTCAGGGTCAGTAAGGCCTGTTTCTTTTTGATTTGTGGATCTTTGCCCTTTGTTTGTGGCCAGTTGTTGAGTACTGGGATTTCTATCAGAGAGCTTTAACCTTCGTTTTTTCCTCTACTTCTCCAATGTCTCCTGTTCCCATTATTTTACATCCTCCAAGGGATCTTGTTTCTTGCCAACATTGGTCCACCATCTTTAAAATATCTGAATATTAACAAGATTATTTCACAGTATTGGCTGAGCAAAACTGAAGCGTATTGTACTTATAAAGCCACCCAAATTGCCATATACATTTTTGAGGAATGAATAAAAAATTCACTATTTCAACAAATTTTCATCTAAGTAAGTAAGGGAAGACTCGTAAATCGATTTTTGGAATGGCTAATGTCATTGTGACATTAGGGGGGGAGTTTTAGTTCTTAACGTTAGTTTTGTGTAAGAGTTACATTGATTTTTTTCAGAAAGTTACTCAAAATTTCCTTTTCAACTCTTGCTCACTACTGGCACAGTGGTATGTCTATGGACTTACAATGCTAAGAAACTGGGTTTTGATACCCATGATGGGCAGAGCACAGATAGCCCTTTGTGTAGCTTTGTGCTTTACAACAAACAAACAAACCTTTTCAACTTTTGATTTGCTATAAAGCAAATACAAAGAAATAGTCTCATGGTATGTAAGAATACACCCAGACAGAAAGCCTTATTGTTTATTTAAACTTCACAATAAAAAAAAAACCTTCACAGTTAACAAACAATATTCAGCATGATTTCGCCATTTAAGTCCCTCATATAATACTATTTTTAAAGAATCTTAAAGATGGGGGTTCGTGTTCATTATATTATACTCTGTTTTGTATGCCGCATACTTAGGCCAAAATTCGAAATTCTTTGTGTGACATTACTTACAGGGGGGTAGGTCAGAATGTAACATCACAATGACATTAGCCATTCTAAAATCAATTTACGAGGCTTCTCTAAGTAAGTGACTTTTCCAGACAAGCATACAGGAAAAATGACAAACCTTATCTCTCTAATTCTATCACAGAACTATTCCTTTCTTGTACCAAAAAGGATACAAGTATACATATAAAATGGACGATGTGCTAAACTAGACATATTAGATAGGAGGATAAATGGGTAGAGATCCTGATGAGTAATAAAATCAAAGTGGGTATATGTGCATTCCATGCTCGGTATTGCTGTTGCAACAAGTACAGGGGTCCCTGTTGTATGTCATGATGCATTCCTGGAAAGTAGGACGTATGTAAGAAATGATGCTAAGCAACACAATCTCTACATGTATTATGGAGTGGATGTGTTCTTGAAGAATTTTGGGCCAGTCTTGAATAACACATCCTCCTCTGTCTTGACATGGCAACGTTGCTTCACACACATATATTAGTTGTACAGTAACTGGTGAACACTATGCTTGGTAAAGTAGTCCGGCTCATTTGAATTGACTGACCATATGATATCTTTCTCGTGGGAATGAAGCTTGTAACCAAACAAGATTGAAAGCTAGTCAAACTATGCTTTTTCAAACCAATGGTGATATTATAGTGAGTAATTTATGTTAAATTTCGTACTTATTGGAGGGGTGGTGGATAAATTAGAGATGAAGGGATTCCTAGTGAACAAATGTCACATCTCACACTTGGAGAACTTCAGGATTTTTTTTAAATTGCCTTATAAAACTAAGAACTTCAAACTTATATAATATTAAAATATGGATTGTTAGCTATGGTTGTATTCTATACGTACTGGTGTAATATAAAAAAAGTAGTTCAATTAAATTTTGAATGTAACTTACTAAAACTCTCATGACATGCACAGTAAAGGATGTCCAGGCAGAGAGGGTTAACACTAGTAATGAATTTTTTGTTTCAAAAATATTGACATTAATTGGTAAACATTACATCTGGAAAAGTTGTCAATGACATTGGAATGCTCTAGTAACGAAACAGGGCAACATTGTTTGATACATGGGTAGTAATTATTGAATGCTCTGATAATGAAATATACAGAGTGATGCAACATATAATATGGACACATTGTATAATAAAACATTTTTTTATTTTAACACAGAGAAGTAGGGATTGATATATATGTAACCTAGCTAGCTATAGTAATATAGAAAGTTTTAATGCTATAAAAAGTAATTGAAATAAGAAAGTCAAAACCACAAAAACTTAATTACATGAAATTTAAAAATTTTTATCCCTACTTTGGTTCAGATTAACATAATTAGTGATTTGCAAAAATAGGGATGAAATGTAAGTAACTTAACTTTTTTTAGTTTTGACTTTTTTGTACTAATATAGTGTTAATGCTTCATATAATATTAAATTTGTTTACATGCAGTGTAAGGGCTGTGTACATGTTTGTAGAAAATTGAAATGTTAGACAGAGTATACTGACATCAAACTTTTACAGTAAATATTAATACATTGTTTGTACTAAAGATCGCTTCACAGAAGGTAAAAAAATATACTTATTAATATTCTTTTTCAAATACTCTTCCAGTACATTCTAAATAATTAAGATATATAATGTAATTCATTACGTAGAAAAACTTATCAACTGTAATTTTTAAGGTTATTCACACTATTATTTTAGTACGTAATATTATACTGTAAAGAAACTTGATAATTTTAAAGTATGCTTTGATTATTTTACTGAGTGTCAAGCATAGGACTTGTCAGAAATTATATTTTGACAAAATATGTATAAAAATAAGATTATTCTGATTTTTGAAAAATGAAAAAACAATCTTAATTTGTAGGTAACCATCTTTATAATAAAAACTGACCACTTGCAATATTTCAGAATAATAATAATAATACATATAATTACATCGGTAATACAAAATCTTATATTTGTGCAAATCATGTAGCATTTACTCTGGTGATTATCATTTTTTGTAATTAGATTAACTGCTTAGTTTTTGCTTCTGATTAAGTTACCTGCAATTAATTAAAATGTTCTTTGATTAAACCCAAACATATATATCAGCCAAAATCATGCAGATTTGCTGAAGCATCCATTCTTGATTTTTGTCCATAACACTATATATTTATCAGTTCTTGCTTGTAGTACAAACTTCTCAGTTTGTTCAGTTCATTCTTAAAGGAGTATTTCTAAAAATTGTGAATATATTATTAACTTTGTAATTCCCATTGTTACTGGTGTTAAGCTTTTAAACTTTTTTACACAAGTATGCAGTAGATTTTGCACTTATGTGTATTAATATCAGTCCTTTGCATTTGTAATTGAAATAAATGTTATAAATGCCTCTGTTTGTTTTAGTTTTGTTACACATTTTATCTCTTATGTTATTGGTAGAGCTTATAGCTTGTTTGTGAAGTTTGGTTGTTCCTGAACTTGTACTATTTCATATTTGAGGTGGCTGGCAATAACAATTTTACTCAGTTTTTCTGCTTACTTTTTCTGTCTTGAAAGTCTTTAAGTATTTTCTCTTTACAATTATTCTAAAGCATGTATTATTTTAATGTTTATGAAATTTTATACCAACATATTTTAGTATAAAATCCCATATTCCATAAAAATTACAAGAATATATCATTTAGAAAAATATTTTATATTAAACTATTAATCCTGTGGAGTTGGGTCCTAATGGTTGTATTCCAAAGAACCTATCCCTATTCTTAAGTGATAAGAAAGTGTATCTTATTCTCTAGTCATGCATTATGCATGCACATCTGGTATTAAACTTGGCTTGTATATTCACACACGCTGACATAAAGTCCCTCAATTAAAATTGCTACAATCATTTACTTAATCCTCATAAAATATAACAATTACTTTAACTGTTTCATCTGACAAGCTACCACTTTGATGGTAAGGAACATTGATGCTGGCTACAGAGTTGGGCATTAGCAGTATGGAATGGTGGTTAGAATCACTTGTGTCTTTGTATGTTTAGTACTGTATTATAGAGAGGCATACAGCATTTGTGGGTTGTTGACCACTTTATTCAATAGCTTTTGTATAATAAATGTATACATGTTTTGAAATGTTGAAAGTCATTAAAGTATGGGTTATTGCAGAGTGAAAATTTGTACAGGATAAAGCTTCTCCTGGAATGTTTATTTTTAGAGGACAAAGAAGTATCTGTATAGAATTTTTATTTCTAACTATTGATTGTATTAACATTAATTTTATAACCATTTAGTTTTTGTTTTCTTAAGATTTTACATTTCTTGAAGGTTAGAACTGAGAATGTTAATTTTTACCATTTTGATTTTATTTTTCTTAAGTATTTTTATATTCAATAAAGGCTAGAAGCCAGAATGTTAAAGAAACACCAATTTTTAACTTTGCATTTTTATTTGTATCTAAGTTAAGATTAACAAGCCATTGAATGTTAATAAAACATGCAAAATAAAAAATACTACTTATCTATGGTGTTATGAGTCCATTTCACTTCCCCATATAGTAACATAAATTAATTTAGGTATGTGAATAATGCTATGACATTTCATGAAATTCATTATTCAATATTATACAGTAGACCAACTGTTTAATGATTATATCAATATGTTAAAGATTTCTTTTTTTTCACTACAGGTGAAATTAAAAAGAAATCTTTAACATACACATACCAAACTTATCTGTGTAATAGCAACAAATGTGGCTTCAGCTAACCTTTGTATGACAAAATTTTTCCTTTTTTTATAGGGGGATTTTTTCATCTTTACGAGAACTTTATAAAGAAGATGGAATTTTGGGATTTTTCTCGTAAGTCATTATTCATTGTTTCATGGATATTGTCTACTAATTTTAAAAAAGATATATTTTTCCCACTCAGGTAATAACTAATATTAGATATAAATACAGTGAGACAACATTGTAGTTCTTTTAATTGTTAAAGAATTTAGAGGTATTTTTAATATCTTTGGAATGGGTGCTTTAAAAGTAGAGAGTTGAAGTTGAGGATTTGTAAGAACATTTTACTATACTGTAAGAAAGATGAAAACAATCTTAATAGATGTTTTGAGTTTCAGCATAAACTATTTTCAGTATATGGTAGAAATACAAATAATTGCATAGACTTGGTTATCTATGTGGTGTAGATAAAATAACTGGTAGCACCAAAATAATCAGTTATTTATATAAAAAAATACTATGATGAAACGAGTTATAAAAAGTTAGTATACAAAGAGTTTAGTTTAACATGGATATCATCCTAATTACAAGCAATATTTGGAAGTTTTATTGTTTTCAAACCAGCAAGTGCTCACTTTTCTGATATTTATACAAAAGGAAGCCAATTACCTTGTATTTAAGAATCTCAAAATACATGTTTTAAGCAATTCTGATATGGAACACAAGACTAAAGAAGCACATTAACTCATTATTAACAATCATTTCAGATATTTTACTTTGTAGTTATTAAATGTTATTAAACTATTTGAACTCTTTGCATTCAATTCTCTTTAAGGAAATGATATGAATTTTTTCATTCTTTCTGTTTTGATAGTACAGTAATAACATGTTTAGTGCTCAGGAAGGGTTCCTGAGAACAGAGCTCTAAACAGGGTCATTTTAACATTACTCATATGGAGGTATGTAACTGAAGGCATTGTTTCTTACCTGTGAATGGTGTATAAATGACTTATGTAGGTACTGGTAAATTTAATTTAAGTTACTCACTATAATATTATACTGGAAAAAGTAAATTTTTATTAGCCTTCAATCTCATTTGGCTACAGAGCCATCAAATAGAAAATCAGACCCCTCCTGCCACTCCCACCTGTCACATCCTCTTTTTCAGGATATGTAAATACATGCAATTCTCTCTTATGTTCACGACTATATTAGTTATAACCAATAGACAGGCAAGGTTTTTGTCTATCAAATGATGTATTATATTATGTTGTTTTCTGTACAGAGATTTGTAGATCGCTTTCTAAGAAAATGTTTTTTTACCCACAAGAACGATATTGTGTAGATGGATGATGTTTTAATGGTTCATATTGCATTGCTAGATATGCCAGAAAAATTGTGATAGTTATGGGATAATGTCTGCTTTTTGTGTTTTATTATTCTATATTCTTTGTTGCATTATTTTATTAAATAAAAACTATTTAATGTACCATTAGTATGAAAAAATAATGTTCAAAGAGTTAGAGATTTTCATAATTTATTTTCTCTCTCTCTCGTAGAAAAAAAAAATCTCTTAAGGAGGCAAGAGCTCTATAACGAATTAGCTTAAAGTGGGGTGATGCTAAGCTGGGTCATTTATAGATATCGTTGCTGATTTGTTGCCTCTCACGGTAAGAAAGAAAACAATGATTTGTATTTTCTTTCATTACAAATAGCTAAAGAAGGAATATTAACTAATGTATTATGTTAAATTTAATTATTATCTGTTTTCATTATATAAATAAAAGGTCTTAATCTTTTTTGTCAAGTGAAATTCATTTTTTTTATGTGAAATATATTTACACAATTTATATATATTTGCATAATGAAGGTTTAGAAAACAAGAATAAAATCAACACCTATATGTTAAACTACAAGGTGTTCAAAAGGTTGGCGAATAGTTAAATGAGACTTTTCTCTCTGGAGGTTTTGTCTCTGGAGTTTCCTTTACCTATATACAGTCTTTGGGGGAAACCCCATTCACGTGTAGTGCAATGGCTTTACTCTTGAGAACATAAATACCAGGGAACAAACTTGTGATTAAGATTAAATCCATACAACTCACAAGAGGCACCAGTAGTGAGAATAGTTGTGTCAGCAGTTCTGTGATTTTTGAATCTGTTGATAACCAAAACTTTATTGAAATAAGGTTATTCTCTCTGTTTTAAAATATTACTCTAACTCTTTCACAACAGGTTTCTGCATTTTTCTATGACCATGTTACCATGAAGTTATACTTAATGTAGCTTTTCTGAAAATTGGCAGATTTCATTTGCTTAATCTTTAAAACCTCCTAAATAAATATCAAACTTTTTTATTTTATCTATTATTTTCTCTATCATAACTGTCCGGGGCCAGTCAATTTGACCACCATATAAAATTAGGAAATAAATCTAAATTTTCTTATTAGAATCACTGATAATTGTAACAGGAAACCACATTTGTTTATCCTAAAAAGCTTAAAGCTTTTAACAGCATACATCTATATATATTTAATTTTATTGTTTTATTGAGCTTTGAACTGTGTTAAACTAATAATCTCACCGCCAAGTTGTAAATCACTCCAGAAATGTACAGCTTATGTTACCATATTGAATTACGTTACATTTGACCTGCTTACAAGTGTACCTCATGAAGTACTTGTATGATTAGTGTTATTTTGTTATTACCTTACCTATTCTAAATATAACATATATAGGTTACTAATTTTTTACATTTTAGTTAGAATATGCATAAAAAAGAAGAAATATAATATTTACCTGGCTCTTTTTTTTTCTTGCTGCTGACTGTCAATGAAACTTAATCCTGCTTTTTTTTTAATAGTAATAATATTACACTAAGTAATTTTTTTATTTAGTTAAGTAATGCACCTAAGAACACAGAATAATAACACACAAAAAGCAAACAATGTCCTCTAACTATCATAATTTTTCTGTCTTTCTAACTATGTGATAAGAGCATTTAAAATTTCAGATAAGCCTGTCGATGTGATTTCCATGAGAATAAATTTGTTTTTATGTCAGTACATAGCATTCTGACAAAGGTTTTCCCAACTTATATAAGATCAGTACTTTCAGGTCACAGAAATACTAGATTTTGCATGTAAACATTCAGTTGGCTGGGATATGGTTATCAAACCATCAGAAAGTATCATGAATAATACAAAATGTTTTCATGGGGTTATATTAATGAGATTTGATGGGTCTGGTTATTGAATGTAATAAAAAATTTTAGTGTGCACTTTAGTTTGTTGTTAATGAGAAGTTAAGGTGTATTCGTTTTGTTTAAATATAAGAAGGCAGTGTACCTTAATATTAATGAGATTTAACTAAGAAACAAATTAAGAAATACAATTATCCTAACTGATCAGACAGGAATTTTAATGGTTGTGTACAGTATAGATAACAGAAATATTTTAATTTTGTTACTTTTGGGCTGCTAACTGTTTTTAGAAGTATATATCAGTATTAAGTATTATTTCACATAATTGCAGACCCCTAGTGGCACAGCGGTATCTCTGCAGACTTAAAATGCTAGAAACTGGGTTTTGATACCCATTGTGTAGCTTTGTGCTTAACTACAAACAAACAAACACATAATTGCACTCAGCATCTTTTCAACATAGATTGCAGGACTGAATCTTTTATAAAACCCAGAAATATGTTGGTCGTTAAAAAATTGTGCCTCTTTGCTTTATCTCGTAACCTTCATGACTATTATATGTTAACATAATGTTAGTCACTGTAATTTATTATATTTGGTGATAGGTTTCATCATATGGCATAAATAAAATTCAACATTTGTTGCTTACTATCAAGTAACTATGTTCTCAAGCTTTTATAATCAGATTAAAAAGCTGAAGTGGTGTTAATTAGATAGTATTATAAAGAAAATCTGAACTACCAGTGTATCATCTAAACACACACACACATGGAAAATTTATAATTTTGCCTGAAAAGGCAGGGAATCTTTTATTTTTTTGGAGTGGCCATGTTGTCTCATTAAAACTTTTAGAATGATATTCATGTTATATGTATATGAAGGGGGGTGCTGAATTTTTTATATGTGAGTAACAAACAAATTTATTCTTCCTGATCTCTCTTTTGTTTTTTTACTTTTTCTTGATGAGTTTACTGTTACTTCTTATGTATAGCTTTTCCAATAACAAGCAGAATATTCAGTGTTATTACAACAATTTAGCTGTCTCATTCCATGATACACACAAATGTACTACCTATACAAGATTTGCTGAAATGTTCCTATGTCCTTTTCAATTTGTAAAATTAACTGCAGTGTATTAAACTTGGTTGAATCATAGAGAGAAAAAATTGAGGAATTTTAATTATATGTTTCTTAAAAAATTATCATCTTTAATTTTGGTTTTTCTGAAAAGAAATTATAGAATTCAAATGCCAATTGAATTTTTTATTTCAGATCTTTTGGAAATAGGGAAAATATACACTTGACATTATAAAGTTTGTTTTTTTGTACAATAAGAATAGTTTATTTGTGGGAAGAGGGCTTTAACATGTGTAGAATTGTTAGCATTGTTAGCTTGTTTAGATTTGACATGTTGCTATTGGAAGTCAAGATTGTTTTTTTTTTATTAACATTATTTGAGGCTGAAGTAAGACACACCAGTATATTTACTTAATAATAGCGGTATTACAGTATATGCATTATACAGTTATAATAACTTTTCACCACTTTTTTACCTATTTAAAAAAGTTGTGCCATGCATAAATAGCATAATGGGACAAAACCTCTGGTTCCAGCAATCTAGAAACATCTTGAAAGGACAAGGGTTGGCAAAGTTTGTCTGCTTTATAGCTACAATAGTTTAATAGTAGAAGACACTTTTTCAGTAAATCTGTAATAGGAAATATCTAAAAATTGATTAAAAAACAGGAAGCTCTTTAGTGTTTAATTTTTAATTTAATTTGAATTGACATGTTAAGTAGTTATGATAATTTGTTTATGAATTTGGACCTATAATTTGGAACTTGAAAACTGATTACCAAGAGTTTAGTGCCATTTGAATATAATGGTCCATAATACTATGCATCGTACATCTATGAAAAAATATTTAAAGTATTTTAAACACTGCATACATAAAGGAATGTAAATTGCATATGCATGTTAATGGTACCATTAGTCATTGATAAAACTTTATTTATTTTGATATTGTACAGAGTAGTAAAATTGTTATATTTATGCACTTGAAATGTAAATTTATACAAGCTAACTTTAACAGTACAAATACATAAAACATACTTTAATACTGACTGTGTTTTATGTATAACTTAATAAAAATCTTAAAAACCAAAATAATAAAGTGCACGAAAGTTTTATTAACAAACACGATTTTCTTATACATCATTTATAAATCATAGTGTATTGTGTAAAGATAAAATGTTTAATGTTTCCTGGTAGTGGCCTTATTCCACGACTTATTGGAGAAATTGTAACTTTATGGCTTGCATCATCTGTTACATTTGTCATCAATACTTACTTGGTAGAAGATAAGGTAAGCAACTTTATGTTGTGTGTACTTTAGTAATATTAAAATACAAACATCATTTTTTGTATACAATTTTTACCATGGTATAGTCAAATAGGGAAGGAAGTTTAAACAGTTATTTCTGCATTGCAAATGGAACTAAAATCTTTCTCAAATGATCTTCATGATTTATTAGAAGTTAAAGACAGTGTTAATAACTAGTGGTTGTGTGTTTTCAGAATTGAGCCAAATATTAGAGAGCAGTTAATAGCTGCTTATAATTTAAAAACAATAACATCATTTTTGATGTGAACTAGAAACAAACTAAATAATTATTTGATATTGTAATGGTTTATTATTTATGTGACGTGCAACTTACATGTGCTTTAGCAGGTTTTTTACAATTTATTTGAAACATTTTTTGTAGAACATATTGGCTAGACATTCCTTAGATTTTCCTCAGTCTCTTGTGATTTTTATCATACATGTGGTTGTGACTACACACACACACACACATTGCAGGTATGAGAGCCTCAACTCAGTTTTTTAACATAATTACTTTAAAGTAAAGTAACAGGAAAACCACAAAAATGATGATTGTACTGTCATCTTCATTCTCTACTTGAGGTAAGCAATTGAGTATTGCATATTTATAGCCATTATGTTTATTAAAAATTACTCTAATTATTTAAACACAATGTAATTAATTTGGCCTATTATCAGTTCTATATGTAAGGAATAAATTTTTACTTTTCATTTAACCACAATCATGCAAATTCTTTGACACTGCATTCATGTATTTATATGTAGTTACATTATACAGTTTCTGACTATTATTTATTATTGGGAAAAAAGAAAATACAAATGTTTCACCAACTGACTAAATTATGGGCAACTCTGTTATTTAATACTACTCTTTCAGACACATATGATAATTTTGTTTTTAATACCTGTCATGCATGGTAATAAATGCAGAGTTTGGTATAATGAAAAAAAATTCATAATGTTTCTTTCATCACTAAAGACCCTGTATATTTAGCACTGCTAATAAAGTTGAACTGGTAAGGTATATGAATATCCCAATACATGTTGAAGACTGATTTTTGCATGTGTTGTACCTTTTTCATGTTTATGTGGTCATGTTGTAAAGCTAAGAAGCATGTAAAGTTGGATTATTTAAGATACCGTATTTTCCGGTGTATAAGACGCACTTTCTTACCCCAAAATTTGATGTCAAAATCTGCTTGCGTCTTATACACCAAAGGTATGAATAATATATATGTATATATAAGATATACACAAGCCATGTGTAAATATATTTAAATAGGCATGCATAGTTTAGTTCAATTGAATGTGTTATTTATAACAATAGTAGTTTTTTCTTCTAAAAACATAATTATTTATAATGCTCTCTAAATAATAAAAAAATAAATTACAGTGAAAGCAATGAAGATTTTGTAGGTTTGAACCAAATTAAATAACAGTAAACCTTTCTTTTTTTTATTTATAGTATTTTCTTATTTTTATGTTTTGAGCTCTTTTGTGTTTAGAACAATATGTACTAATTTTTATTCAATAAAAATCTTTCAAATGCGACTGTAGCCTTTTTTTCCTCAAAACTTTATCTTCAAAATAAGGGTGTGTCTTAGATTTCGTAAAATACGGTAAATATTTTGTATTGCAATAGAAACTTCATAATAAAGAACTTTTTATTTATTTCAGACAGTTCGCACTTACATTAGAGCTTCTATTCTGGTAAGAATAATTTATTGGTTTTATTTTAACTCAAAAATTTAAAATTTGGGTTAGGTGTAAAACAATTTCTTTTTCACTAGATTTGATGTTGATTTTGCAATAAGAAAACTAAATGAAAGCAAATTCCAGGAAGGAAGTATGTGAGTAATATATATGTATTGAATATAATTTTATTTTATTTTACTTTGGAAGGTCTTAATTGTCTGTTGAAATAACAGCAAATGGTCATAAGTTTTTTTATGAAAGCTGGAGCATTTGGAAATTATACAAAACATTTTGATTTGTAAACCACCTTACATCTGAAATATTTCTTAAATAAAAACTTTATTTTTTATTTCCATGAAATGAGAAAAGATAAAAATATATCGGTAGGAATATGGTTGTAGTACTGTCTTACTGATAAAACAAGGACATTCTTTTGCAGAAAAAGTTTGAGTATCAGCTAAACAAGAACAGACATTATGCAGCAGCTACTAGTGCTCAACTGTACTTAAAACTAATTGTTATTGTGGTTATCAAATTGTATTAAGTATGATACAGCAAAAATCAATTCAATAAACATAATTTTTTTGAAATGAATACTAATCTCTTCACACAGTAAAGCTTCTTTCTTCTTGAGTTTGCACAATCTACCAAAGAGCCTAACCAGCCTTGTGAAAACTCCCACATGATCTCCTGTGAAACCGTGAATTTGCGCCCCTGCATCATGATGTAATCATGCAGCAGAACACTTCACCAGTAGGAGTGTGAGCATCTATGTGTACAATGACTCCTCCTACATTCACAGTCATGAATCCTCATTCTTTTTCTGGGCACTGTCATGAACAGGTGTGTTTTGAATTTGCTGAAATTTGCAACATTTTCAGTTTTCAACATTCAATTGATTGAGTTTTAACATGCTTAGTACGAATTCACGATTTAGTGTGAACTTTTCTTCTTCTGATTTGAGTGAAGATATTTGTCACCCTGTATAAAATACCAATAATTTGGTGAGAAGTTCTTTATCTGTGGGAGATGTGATGGCCATTGTCCAACATGTGGTGGGGTCCATGATGCAGCCAGGACCCTCTGCTACAGTCCCTTCCATTTACTTCCCTTCCCCTTCTTTCAAGTTTGAAGTTGAAGAGGACGAATTTGAGAGCCTTTTTCCACCACCAGGTTTTGCTTTTGGAATGTCCTTACCTCCTGAAGAATACTCTCAGTCTTCCTTGGATTTTCAAAACTCTATTACTCAGGTATATAAAGTTCTTTCTCTCTCTTCTTCCCATATCTTTTGACTCTTCCCATTCTTTATTACTTGAGCCCTCCCCTCACAATTTCTTTGTTTTACATTCCAATTCCTTTCTAGATCAACTTTGTTCCTGTAACCTTGTGCCTTGTTTCCCTCACCTGATTGATTCTTATATTCTTGCATATGGTAACTCAAACTTCCCATTTCTGGACACCATGTCTTTGGAATCACTCTTGCCAATTTGGGATATATTCATTATTGGCTGTTTTCCTATCTAGTGCACAATTTTTCTGACTTTGAGCCTATCTATCTACCCTCTTTAGGTACCTCTCATCCCTTCATCTTGTGATGGAAGGACTTCATTGTTCCCCCTGATAACTCTTCTAGGGACTCTAGAGTGATCTTGTCTTTACAATGGCCCATTCCACCTCTTTTGCTTTTTCACTTCTCACTTAGTTCTTTTTGTTTATTAGACGTTTTGGGAAGGGATAGCCTACTTTCTGAAGTCAGAATCTTTGTTTTCCCGCTTTTCTTCATCCGGAGGTCTGTGATGGCATCCTTGATTCCCTTGAATCTTCCTTTACTTCCTTAGTTTCCTCTTTGTTCCTACCTTACCTCACATCTTCTGTCTCCTGCTCTGGCCCTTTGCCCGCTGCCCATTCTGTTCCTGTATCCTGACCTTCCACTTCTTTCCTTACTACTCACCCACTGACCCATCCAGTCAGTTAGGGATTGTGGAAGCCAGGCTGTCTTGGTTTGCAAACCTATGGGCATATTTCTCTGCCAACAACTGGGCCATACAAGTTCTTTTCACTTTTCTCCCATCCTCTTGCCATTCCATCTAATCCTGCTTACCTTCAACCTCTGGAGGGATTGGTATTGGATTTGTTGGAAAAACAGGCCATCAAGAGGGTTCATCACCTTTCTGGGTTATTACTTCCACCTCTCTTTTGTCCCCCAAAAGACTGGGATCCAATTATTGGCCCACATTTTTGGATGAAGAATTTTTTCTATCTCCTTTAGTCATTCCAACCTGGCTTGTGAATGACTAAAGTCAATGTGTTGGACACTTTTCTTCACATCCCAATCACCCAACCCCCATGACATTTTCTTTGATTTGTCCATGAAGGGTGCATTTTCCAGTTCCATTCCCTTCTGTTCAGTATAGCATTGGAACCTTTTTCAATTGCATTATGTGTGTTTTTGCTTGATATATTCATGGCCTGGTTCTGTAATTCTATTTCTGAAGGGACTACTGGCTTCTCCTTGCCCATTCCCAGGTAGGACCCTCTGAACACACTTCTCTTCTTCTTTATGCAGCTGCTCATTTAGGGGGACTCATCAAGATTTTCAAGTCCTTCCTTACCCTGACCCAATATCTCACCCACCTGGGGATTCTCTTCAACTCTCACCTCAGCTGTGCCCAGCCTTTTCTAGTTTGCTTATGGGACCTGAAGCATTTGGTTACCAATGTTTATGCTTGGCCTTTAAATTCTGTATGAGAGGTTCTCTCTCGTTTTAGAAACCATGGCCTTTCTGGAATCTCTCATTCCAGTTGGCCACCCACATATGCATCCTCTACAGTGGGCACTGTATGACCAGTAAAACCTTTCCAGGGATCCACTGTCCTCATCGATTCCCCTTCCTCCCCCCTCGATGGGGAGCATCCCTGAACAGCTGTGTGACTTTAGATTTTTGGACTTGGAAGAGTGCTTGCTACATATCAATGCTCATGAACTGCTCACTATCTGTTGGGCATTATCTAATTTCCTTCTCCTCCTTGTAAATCATTTGGTGATGATCCACTTGAACAATTCATGGTTGTGTCTCATATCAACTGTCAAGGAGGCACCCAATCAAGGACCCTCTGCTTTTAGACATTGGACCTCCTCACTTGGGATCCATTCCAGTTGGGTAAGTTTAATCACCTTTCATGTTCTGAGCTCACTGAACATCTCATTGACCATCTTTTTTTTACAAGGACAACATGTCCTATCCACAGAAAGATCACACCATCCACAAACCTTCAGTTGGATCTCCTCCCAACTCAGAACTCCATAAACAGATGCCTTTGGCTCATCCCTCAATACCACATTTTCTCTCTTTTGTTTTCCAGTACTTCACCATTTGGCTCTTTCTGTCAGTGCTGTCAGTCAGGACTGGTCCATCTATTCCTTTATGCCTATGCTCCTCTCCACCTCCTTTTCAGGGTTCTTGCACAGATATGGGATACCCCTTGCAGAGTTATGTTGGTAACTCCTTACTGACCTGCCCCATGGTTTCCATTACCATGGATGGTCTCATCAAGCCCCCTTTCTTCTTTACAAAATTCTGCCTCTTCTGATCTAACCACACGTTTCTCTTTTATTAAAGACTGACATCCCTTCACCTCCATGTGTGGAATTCATCTATCCATCACTTGTTGAACCAGACTCTCCAATTGTGTAACTTTCTTTGTGTCCCACTCTCATTGCCCCTTCCACTTCTTCTGTGTACCTACATAAGTGACCTACCTATTGCTTTTAGTCTATCTTTTACCATTTCTCCCTGGCTGACCTACCTTACAACGTCTTACATCCATCTTCACGTGACTTGTCTGTCTCTACCATTGCAGGTTATTGGGTGCTGCTATCTACCACTTTCTACCTTTCCTGGTACCACAGAATATTTTATTCACCTGTCTTTACCACACTTTCATTCCTTCCTTATCCACAGACCACTTCATCCTACTCCCTTGCCCGACTGGGACCTGAATGTGTTTATTCATGCTCTCACTTAGAATTCTTCTGATCTTTTTGCCACTTGCTCCCTATATCATTTCCCTTTCAAAACTTATTTCCCTCTCCTTCTTGCCTGTGATCACTGCTTCCCTGATGTCTATGCCATAGATTGCTCCCATACTCTATCACCACACTTACCTTTTTCTATACTCTGATCATTCCTTCCTTCCTAAGACTTCCACTGCTAAGGAAGGTAGTTACACTTTTTCTCCCACATCCCTTCCTTCTTTATCCCATCTCTATGATCCTTTTGCCCTGGAGAGACTCATGTGTCCCATATGGGCCATTCTTTACTATCTATTTCACACCTTTATTTTTTGGGGTTCCTGTCAGTGTTTTCATTCCTTGAGACTCTCCCTCTACTAGAGATCTCTCTCCCACCATCCTTACTGAATGGATTCACCAGCTCGTTCATCTGATTTACTCCTCTTGTGTGTCTCCTCACCAGATTCAACACCTAACACATTCTCACTGTCCTTTAGCCCTATGACTACAGATGCTCTCTTTAAACTCCTTTTTTGTGCATGTCATAAAGGTTAATGAGTTATATTCAAAATTCAGTTAAACCACTTTACTATCAGTGTATTTTAATGAAATTAGTATTATTAAGTATATTATAATTCAAAGTTTTATATTATCTATATTTTTATTCCTTTATTTCAAAAGAAACCTCTAACACAATTAAAACTTTAGTTTTGTTGTTATGTGATGCATGTGCAGTTAAAAATATTTTAGCTTGGGTTTCTTCTATTTCTATTCAATTTAGTCTGAATTACTGCTATGATATGTAGATGACCTTCTATGCATATAAGCCCAAATTTCAAACACGTTTCACCTTACAACTGGAGACTTTGAAAGAGGAAGCTGTAAATTTTTCTCCCCCTCTGTTAGTAGCCACACCTACTTTTGAAAGTAAAAAGGCTGTTGCTAAGCAACATTTTTATTCTGAAAGACATGCTTATAATTAATAGAGAGCTTTTTTTAAATTATAATTTCTCAAGGTTATCTTAAAATCTTCAAACTGGCACGGAGTATGCATTTACAAGCAAATTTAACTGTTGTTTTATATTGTTGGACTGTCCTCTGCTAGCACTTAAGTTATTTCTTTCTCACCATATACAAATTAGTTTGATAGACAGTTAAATTGTGTTTGTATTAGTTTTATATTTTTCTTAATTATGTATTAAGTAAGTGCAAAAACATTTTGCTGGAGGCGAAAGTACTTCTGCTGATGATATGGTTATATCACCTGCAGGCACCCACTGACATGTATCAACATAAATAATCAACAGAAAAGAACAGGAAAGTAAAAGAAAACATTAAAAGTAAACTATAAGTGAAAAAAATAACTACATTAAATAACAATGTTTTAATAGAAGTAGTAGAAAAAAATCAAAATTAAATATATTATTTTTCTGAAACTACATACCTTTATGAAGGTTCTTGTCAAATTACAAACAATTTCACTTACTAATTTTATTTTTGAAAAAAAATATGATGAGAGTGATGTTAATTACTTATAATTTAAGTATCAAGCAGAAGTTGTAAGGTTAGAGGAGATTTCTCACTAATTTACTATAGGATCCCACTTGGCAACTAGTGTTGCCTCTCGGGGTATACTTAACCCAAAATTTACATCAAGCTAGGATAACAGAAAGTGCTAATACCATCTGCCCTGGCTCTACAAATGCCCACTGTGAGATGGAGTGTTCTACAAGACCACTTGAGGTTTCTTTATGGTTTTTCTTTATATATCTGTATTACATTGGATGTCTAATCCAGACCGTACCAATTCTATGGACTGTCATGGGAAAATGCCTGCACTAGAGTTATTTTTCTGCCCACTTCTCTGGCTAGTGCTTGTTGGCTTTTACAAATAGGATTTCATGGTCATCTGTTTCACTATCTCCAGTAAAAGAGCACTCTGGACTGAAGGACCAATGGAGATCTGGGCACATTCTTTGGGTCTCCCCTATGCAATTTCTCCCCCTAGTTTAGTGGAGCATGAGAGACCCTTGCTACCTACCTGTACCCAGCCCCTAGTATGGTGGACCATACCAGAGCCCTCACCGGTTGGGACCTAAATGCTGGGGCTAGAACAAAGGATCCTCTATGGTGAGAAGTGGGGCTGATGTGACACCAGTGTGTAGTGCGGGTCACCCTACATGTAAAACTATGGTACATCACAATCTTCAGGTAGACCAAGGTTACAACTCACTATTTCATTCCTTTATATATATATATATATATATCTATTTAATTCACAAATCCTCCCCCTGCAGTCAAAATCTGTTGAGTAGAGTCGAGGTGATCACTTTCCCTCCAATCCATTCCACATTGTACTAGAAAAAAAACAACCAAACAAAACATCACCCCACTCATGCAACTGATATGTGGCCCATAGAAACATAGAATCAAGTGGAGGTGTATTTAATATGGTACTCACCTTCTATAGTTGGTATTGGGTCTGTGGTATCTGACGGTAGAGGAGATGAGATAGATACTTGTCATAAGTGCCATTCTCCCACAGATGGTTTGGACTCATCAAGTCTGAAGGCAGAGGAGGTGAACATAAAAGGTATGATTTGAACAAGCTCCAACCTCACTAAGCATATTGACTGTTTGACAGCTTGTTTGCAAGTACTCAGACAGCCATGTACTTATTCTAACTGTGCTTGCAACACGTTTATGGTTTTTCTGCCTCTTCTCTTCTTGTACATGGGCAAAGAGTATACCCAGGAACGACAAAATGTGTTTTCCCATAGGCATGCCACTATGAAGCCCCTGCCATCGAGTGTTACAACCTGTGAGCACCTCCACCATCTATGGGATTGTATCTATTCTGTGTGTGTGTGTGAAGGTATTTGTTTTGGAAGTTAACATTTTCCTTACCTGAAAATGTATTTTCAAATAGATACTCACCTCCTCACACATTCTCCCCATCTATTTTCCCAACTTTTCTGGTGCACAGTTCTTTTTTGTCTCATAAAAGAATGAGGATTCATGAGTGTTAATGTAAACAGAGTCATTGCCCATGTGGGTATGTTGCACTCCTATTGGTGAAGGGTTCTGCTGCATGATTACATCATCATGTGGTGAGGCAAGTTCATGTGTTTTCACATGAAATTATGTGAGAGCTTTCATAAGGTTGGTGGCTTTCAAATCTCTTTGGCAGATTGCACAATGTCAAGAGGAAAGAAACTATTCTGTGTAAGAGGTGAGTATCTATCAGAAATACATTTTTAGGTAAGGAAAATGTTAATTTTCTCAGAATAATTAAAACTAAATTTTAACAGTATTGAATAACTGAATGGTACTGAATACAATATTTAAAAAGTAAGCTCACTCATTATTTTACTATTTAGCTTTTTTTTTCTAAAAGAGTTATAAGAATATTAGTACTTTATAAATTCTTAATGGCCTTGAAGTAAAAAATTAAAATTTTCATAAGTATTAAATTATCTTTATAGTGCAACTGTATGCAGGGTGATTAGAAGCATATGAACTTTTTTTTTCCACAGTTTGAGGATTTTGAAGGGGCTTTTATGCTGTTTTTAGAAATATCAAGAGATGTGAAATTTTGACATATTATATTAGCTAAATATATTTCAAACATTCCTAGTTGCTTAAAATAATGATTTTAATAGTGAAATCAAAGTATTTTAAATAACTTAGCAATGGACTGCATTATCTTTAGAGATAAAAAAAATTGCAATACAGTACAAAAACAGTTTGTGTTTCAAAAATACGTAATTCTGATGTCTAGCTTGTTTTATGAAAAACTGGGTTAGAACATAGATAAACATCAAAAGAATTATTATTTTATTTATTTTTACCAGCATCTTTCAATTTTTATTTTATTTTCAAATATGCACAGGACTTTACCAGACACATATTTCTATGTTTAACTTTTTGTTATACTTAGATTATTTATAATATAAGTGCGTAGTATGTTTCATATCAATTTTGTCAGACAAATTTATATGCTTTTATTTTTGCTGATGTTTTAAACTTGACATTGTAATACCTATCTTTCCTAATCATATCTTTTTTTTCTTTCACCTACAGTACCTGTCTACTGCTGTTGCATACCCTTTTAGCCTGGTTAGCAATGTCATGGCTGTCAACAACTGTGGGTTAGTGATACTTTTTGTCTCGTATTATATTAGTCAGTTTAAGGGAGAATAATACACTGAAGGTTTGTGTGAGCATTTAGTAACTTTGCTTTTGACATGTTTGTTTACCACACCTTCCAAGATAAATCACAATCCTCCATCTTATGACACAATCTAGAAAAGTGTAATGTGTTAGTTTTCCATTCCAGTATTTGGCAATACATTTCTTATCACTTTAAGATCTTTAATATTTGTTACTTTACATCAGTACATGCACATAAAAGCATTGTTAATACAAATAATTTTCATTGTAATGTTCACCACAAAGCTAACAAATACAGTAGTAATGGGAAATTTCTTCCAATCTGATTTTGAACAAGATGCATTGTAATCAAATTTGTTATTGACAGATTACATCTTACATGTGCTCCACAAATAACCATTCATAAGGTAGAGTATTAATTCAGTTTTACCTTTACTGATATCTTCAGTACTTAATTAAATGGTCATAAATGAACCTTTTCCTATACTACAGTTATTAAAAATCTAATATTGTATTCCATTCAGGCATTTCTTATGTAAATAATGTAGTATATCATCATTATACCTATAATTTAAGGATAATGTTTTAGAGCATGCCTTATCTTTTTGAGAAATATTCAAAAGCATTTATCATGCCACCACTGACATTAAGTAATAAACAAGCTTAAAAACTTGCTTACCTTTTCAAACAACTAAAAAATCTTGAAGAAGAACTCGAGACAGAGTTTGAAATATTATCATCTCAACAAAACTTTAAGCAGGAGAGGATCCATAAAGAAACACACACTACCATTTCAAACACACTGCTAAAAGTATGCACAAAAATATCTAAAAAAAAACAATTCTGTAATCTTTGAGGCTAACTATCTTGAAGAGTAACAAAAAGAATACCAATACACACACATTTGTGTGCATCATGCTTGGGTATAGCTTCGTGTCTCATTGTCTTCATTATTTGAGCTGTTCTCACAAATGTGTCCATTTATACTCACTTACAATGTTTGTCAATAACAAAATACAATACACTTTTTAAGGTAGTAAAAATAAATATCAAGTCCATTCAAATGAAAGATTGGGCTTCATATTTATATTTAGTATATTAAACAGTTTGTCTGCTAAATAATTTAAAGTAATAAATTAGTAGCATAAATGCTAATATATTCTTCAAATTTTATACAAGTTAACTGTGATGAGTACAAAAAAACAACTAAAAACACTTATTGTTGTTTTATTAGAAAAAAAAATATTAATACGGTACACCCTAAAGCATTACACAGAACTGCCTTACACTGATTCAAGCAGCATTAGCCTTAAACTGATATACGTAAAATAAAGCAAGAATACAGCACTAATTCATACTATTTTAACACTACTATCATGTCATCCATACAACTATCCTATACATTGACATATCCACTATAAACGACCAATTTATGCAGTGTATTTCACGTTGAAATGTGTATCATAAAATAACCATTCAGCTGTATAGGTTAACCAAGTTATGAATGTTAGGCCTACTTATTTGCTTACTCTAATCTCAATCAATACCAAATTTGTGGTCTGCTTTTGGGGAATCCACGTAAAAGCGGTTTTGCAAAATACCTGGGTTCCCTAAGGGATTGGGTGAAAAGTTTTACATTTGTGCAAACCTCAGGACTGAGACGATCCTTTTTGTACTGTTTGGGAAAAGTTATTTGACACACACATGCACTGAATCTTATTATATATATTTACCTACACTAAGAAATTAACTGACAAATATATCATAAAAAATTAATTTACAAGATAACCCAGTTTCATGTTATCTTACATGCATACTGACATGTGCTTTACAAATAATCATACATAAGATACAGTATTAATTTAAGTTACCTTTTACTGATACTTTCAGAACTTAATGTGGGCCACCAGAGTGGTACAGCGGTATGTCTGTGGACTTACAATGGTAAAAAATGGATTTGCAACCTATGGTGGGCAGAGCACAGATAGCCCATTGTGTAGCTTTGTGCTTAGATATAAACAAACTTAATGTGGAGCAGGATTTTCCTTATTACTCAGTTTCAGATTCTGCTACCTGCTTGAGGAGAAAGATTTACATAACTAGTATAGCTGGTTTATCAATGAATTTATAATTAACTTGAAATGATTTATTTTGATGTTACTCAATTTTAATTTGTATGCATGACCATATTTTGCTGGTGTTTTGTCTTATTAAGCACGTGGGTGTGTATATTTAGTCAAGTACACATGTTACAGTGGCATTTATAAATCTGATGTAATTAAAAAAATCAAAATATTTCAGTAATTTATCACAAAAATAATGTCAAACATGTTAATATCTAGAACAAGTGTCTTAATTTATTATCATTGTATGAACATGACCAGACAGAGGAAGTGGGTAGTTATTAAATATAGAATAAAAAATGGTTACATGTATATTTAATAGGAGTTTCCAGAATCTAGGCAAGTTAAAGTACTGGGGATTTTCATAAGATGATTTTTTTTTGATTTAATGATTTCTTACCTTTCTGTATTGTTATAACCTAAAAATGTTAAACCTAATGATTATTGAGATACATAAATGATGCATTTTGTTGTAATAAAGAACATGTTGAAGATTATATGAGTCAGGTGTACCATGGTACTTAGATTAATGTTGAAAAATAAAAAGTTATTTTTTTAACTCTCACTGCTTGTGAAAATACTGTTTCAGAGTTGCTGAGGTACATTGTTTTGTACATTTATGTTGTAAATTTTTTTTCAGTAATATAAATTAGTTTGCATAGACGTTAGATTATAATGCTTGCAAAAGTCATATACCATCGCTATTTTATATGAATAAAGTAAACACTATTGCAACTTTACAGTAGGCAAGTTTTGATTTTAATGATAATACTGTTTCAACCCATAATATTAGATCATTATCAGGTAACTCTTACATGATGATGACTCGATATAATGGGTTGAGATTTTATTATTAATATCAGGACTTACATATGCAAAAAAGTTGCTGTTATTCTATTTTAGAATTAATTGTTCAGTTCAGTAAGTTTCTTACTAAGCACTATAGCAGTTTTTTTACAATTCATGAAAGAAATAATTAACTAAACATGTTGCCTAAGGAATATACATTCATTTAAAATGTTGAAATAACTATTAGTTAAGTATCTGTGCTTTTATGTTAATGTGTGATTCTTATTACATTGTGAACTGATAATTAAATGATGTGAACATTTTACTGGAATATTAAACCTCGGGCCACATGCTGATTTAACAGTGACTGCCAACTTTTACTGTGGTAGAAAGTATCCTCACTGTTGTTATAAAACACAAACAGTGAAATAGGAAATATTTTAGTAATGTCATTTTACCATATTTGTTTAGAACATGTTGGTAATTGAATTATTTTTCATTTTAGTTGTAAAAAAAATCATATAATTTTACTTTTCTGTCTACAATGCCACTATGTGTTATTATATATAGACTTGCTGCAGGAATGCCACCAAATATGCCAATCTATGCCAGTTGGACTGACTGCTGGTCTCATCTTAAGGCTATTGTAAGTAGAGAATAACAGTGAAATTACTGTTTCTACCAATTAAGTACAATTAGTTCCATCATGAAAATAATGTAATGTGTGGCGATTTTGTTTTTAGCATGTTTTTGTTGTATAAGTAGTGATAATTGTAAAAAAAAAAAGGCATTTAATGTGTTATTTAATGTTTAGTACAAAGATAACTTTTTCAAATTCAACCTTGTTTAATATTTTTTGTGGTATAATGAGCTCAGATTGATTTTTCTTAGAGCATTGGGATAGGTCTTCTGAATAAGATATCAACTACAGAGTAGTTCTGAATTTCCCTGAATAATTGAGTTCATGAGAACGAATTAAAGAGACTGGACACAATGAAAAAATCTTTATTATATCAAAATAAAAAAAACAGTGTATGTATACTTACTTGGTTGAGAAAGGATGGTCACTTTTACTGGTTGGAACTGTTCTCTCTCTCTAAAAACTGACTTCTTCAAGGTTGCGTACCAGACTGTTTAAACCTGATGTTCCTTACTTAACAGGTAATGTCTGATTTACCCAGAGTGACTAGCGATACTACGTGACTATTCACTGTCATTCAAACATAACCTCAAGATGTCACCTGACCCACCATTGGAGGGCTGTCTAGATCCTTGCTCAACATGCTGCATTACAGCCATACTTTCCATGGGCAGAACAGGTGTTATCTCCAGAGAATGACAAATAAACAAAGGCAGCTAGAATGAAATCAACTTAATGAATTTCTTGATCGCATGTTATGTGAAAACTGCATACATACAGAATAACTGATAAATTTTGAATAATATGTTAAAATAATAAGGTAGAAAATGCATGATATTCTTATTTACCACACCATCAACAAGTTTTAATTCTTCCGTAAATTCTTTGGCATTACATGTACACTACAGTAATTGTAAAAGTATTAATTCATTGCTAATTGTTGATGGAATTCCAATTTATTTTTTATTATTGCTGAAAATGCTCAATTTTGTATTCAACATTATTTTAAGAGCAATAAAACATTAATCTGTCATGCATTTTTTAAAACTAAAATTATTATTTTATCTTATAGAAACATTACTAAATACCTTCTGTCCTTTCCTACCCTGACCATGGTCAGTGCTCAGACATCATTTGTTAATAATAGAAATTAAATACTCCATATTGCAAAAAATGCAGTATAATAATAAAGTTAAATAAATTTATAACAGATTCACTTTTTTGAGTTTTTAAATAACATTGAAGCTTCAGCATTTAGAACCAGATTTGGAAGTGTGATACATGTCTTTGAACATGCAGAGAGTAATGAGTGAATTAATATTTATATGCTGACAACAGTTAATTAAAATGCATTACTGCTTTATGTTACTACAAATCATAGCTAATATACTATACACTATATAGAAGCATATGAAAACAAGAATAAAAATTTTCATGTAACTGACTTTAACTATAAATATTTGAAATTTTACATACACACACTGAGATAAAAGCAATAAATATGAATACAAACACTTTGTTGACTAGAAGTGATAAGACTGGAAAGTTCAATATATATTTTCATGTGAACAAATATTACTGGTTATTCTATAGTACAAGATCCAGTTTTGACAACAGCAAACGACTTTAAATATTTTTTCTTATGACAGAATGTCATCATAGATTTCTCTCTTTTTTTTTTTAACTAACATTTTTTATTTTGTTAAGCTCTTGGTTTACCGACAAGTTCTTGAACACAAGTTTGATTATATTAATTTGTAAAAGGGTCTAAACATTTATGTTAATTTCTCAAAGAGTCTAAATGGATTTTTACTACATACACACGAGTGATAGCTCACATTGTTTCATTGTTCTAATGTGAACTTCATTTGGTGTTTATTAGAATGTTGTGTGTAGTTGAAAGCAAGTTTGTAAAACAAAGGTTTTGGGAAGCAAACCATCATATAATATGAATGCTTCAGCTTGTTAATACTAAAGTAGGCAACAGTTTTGAAAACAGGTCACATATCTGTATATTTAAGTATGAAACCTTTGTATCTCTTTATTTTTATATTGACTTTGACACACTTTCACGTCATATGTACTTTCCAGCTAAATGTAGCCTCATGTTTTCATAACTTTTAGTTAATGTTTTCATATTTCCCTTGCATTTCATTTTCAATATCATCTGTTTGTTATTAGTTGTATGTTTATGTATTTTAGTACAGTGTAAAAAAACAGTCAGCAGTGAATGACTAAAACCTAACTTAAATGTTTATTTATGTAAACTAGTCAGAGAAAGGAGAATAGAAGAAATATACTTACACTTTATAATACTGGAAAACATATATACTTACACTTTATAATACTGGAAAACATATATACTTACACTTTATAATACTGTAAAACATATATACTTACACTTTATAATAAAGGAAAACATGTATACTTACACTTTATAGTAATGAAAAACATGTATACTTAACTTTAATATACTATGCTACTTTTCTGGGTTGTACTAAACTATATCTCTTGAATTTCATTTTTAAAGAGTCAACTTAAGAGGGGATCCAGCATTTTGTGGCGATATTACAGTGGACCATATATAATAGATGAGAAAGGCAGGCCTGCATATGCAAGTAGAGCACAGTTCAATCGACCAAAATCATCATAATCTGAGGTCTGTTGTTTCAAGATACTACAATCATAAATACTTTTAATATTAACTGTTTCCTATTGAATAAATTGTAGTAGTTAATGCTATGACTCATAACTCTTTTAATATTAACTGAGATTTTAATGTCCTTAGTTGAATTTTTTCTGTATGCTTTGCTTTTAATTCAGTAAAGCAGTGAATATTTTGAATTCTAGACAGCAAAAAAAAAAACCAGCTATTTTTTAGCTGTATGACTTGTGTGTTCATATATTAACTATAACTTGAATGTTTGTCAAACAATTTTAGGATAAACATTTCTTTGAGTACAATTATTGTGAGAATGAATTATGAAAGTGTGTAAGAATAGTTTTGTTAAAGTCAGCTGCAAGAACATTTGTCAGGATCACAAATCACATTTTGGTGTTGGAGAGTGGTGTGGTCTGTGTGTTTTATCATTTACTGGTTGATGGTCTGTCACTTATCCACAAATAATTCTGTTATTATTAAAATAAGGATGTAGCTACAGTGTAAGTTATAGAGAGAACAAGTGAGAAATTTGGATGTTCTTCAGAACAAGGAAACACTGATTTTAGCTTATCTCTTCTAGTTCTGGGCTACAAAGTTAGATTTTAGTCCAGTTCTAAAGTTGTACATTCCAGTTTTTCTCAAAAGTCTTTTGATTGTTTTCTTCAAATAAATAGTTGCCTTCTGTTTACTATGTATAAGTCTATTTTTGTTTCCATTATTTGCTTTTTTTATTATTCTGAGCTGGTAGGGAGTTTGATTATGCTTCAGTCAATCAGTTGATAGTTACAGAATACAATACAAATGTTGTTGGTTTTCTGTGGCCAGTTAACTTGTTTATTTAATAGAGGAACTATTAACACATCTTGAAGAGTGTCGGGGCATAACTTTGAGTACGAAAAGATACATAAATGTAAACTATTTAATTTCCCAAATACAGAAATGAATATTTATTTTTGTGTGTAAGAACATCAGATGAAATTAAATTTATATATATATATTTTGATTTTGCCAAATTCAAATCTAGTATCATTGTTCTTTCTTCATGTACACACAAATCAAGCTAGGTCCTAGGAGGTTGGTTTAATTGAATTCCAAACTCAGTCAGCAATACTCTATCACTGGCTAACTAACTGTTGTTGAGTTCATTTGTATTTAATGTCAACAACAATGGCTAGGAAAGCAGTATCAAAATGGTGATGTATTATAAGGAATATTGTTGATCCAATTCTTGCATCCAGATACACAAGAACATCTAGTTGAGCTTTACATGTTTTGCATGCATGTGATGAACAAGCTTTTAATTTTATAATTTGTGATTAAATAACTATTTAAAACAATCTAAGGATTCTGATTGTTTAGGTAACTGTAAAGCATTTCTTAGCTTTGTGTGTGTGGAAAAATGTTTTACGCATATTAAAGAGTTACCTTGAGGATGTGGTGCTATATCATTTATAACTTCAAAAATGTTAGTGAGAATGGAATGTGTACATTAAGTTGTAGAAAACATTACAGATAATGATACAAAAATAGCTCGGAAAAACAAAAGGAATTTTAGTAATTGATGACACTTAGATAGCAAACCTTTTAATAATCTCTGACAAAATTAAATGCATTTTGACACCTTGCTTCAAAATTCATATTACTTTCAGCTTTCAATGAACAGGTGTTGACTTGCTGTCACTAGGAGATTCTACAATAGAAATATTTTGGCCAGTTTCAGTGGAACGTCCTCTATTAGTAGTTAAATTTTTTTTATAAAAATGTGGCAAATTGCACTAATACTTATTCAAATAGTACATGTGAGTTTGGTGTCAAACAAAAACTGAAATCAAATGTGTAACTGAGTCAAAATTTTATACTCCACTTAGAGCTTGGTGTACAATTATTTTATTCACTATACATATAATTCTGTAATATATAGTCCAACTTCCGTGATGATTTGTTATCTCAGTTTAGTTACCAAATAGATTTTATTTGAATCCTTTGTTTTTTCCTGTTTGGGTGTAAGATAAAATAGGAACTCATCTGGATATAATCTACATACATTTTTCTCACCACCTTGGTGTGAAAACAGATTTATCTGCTTTTATATCTCGATTAAAATAAGAGGTATGTGTGTGTAAAAGTTTCACTAAGTTCTTTCAAAATGCAATTTTTGCCACATTTTTTTTTTTATCAAAAATTATCTGCTTGAGTGTTCATAATAAGGGAACCATAAATCAGAATCTGTAGATCTGAGAACAAATATTTATTGTTCTCTTACATCTTTCAGAAATTTGAAATATTAAAATTTATATTTTGTACAGCTAGAAGACAGAAAAAATGGCCTATGTCATCAGTGGTGCCATCTCTGGATTGGAAATAAGGAAGCCTAATTTATCATTAATTTGTTTTAATATCTTGTAAAGTTTGGGTTTAAAGGCCTGAATTGGTAGCATTATGGTGTTTGTTTATAGTCTGAAGTAAGTCGTTCGGCTAGGAAAACTATTAGAGACAATAAAAAAACTTGTTTTATTGCAACATATGAGCTTGTAAGTATGTTAAAGCTGTTGTAATTAATTTTAATAAGCAAATAACAATGACTACCTAGTCTTTACATTTAAATGCAGGTGTTGACTAGAACTGGTGATTTCCATGTATTTGTTTAATTCTGTAACAAGAAAACATGTTATTTTACACAAAACTGTGGGTGTGTGTTTAAATCAATAGTACTACAGAGACAGCTTGATGTTTTATATAACAGCTGAAGGTTGTGAGATTGAAATACAGTAAATCGCAGGTATAAGATTTAGGATTCTCTATAAATAAAAACTGTATTTCAATAAAGAACTATTGAAAATTATTTATAAAAATCATTTCCATGGTCATAGAATTTCTTTGGGGATAAGAAAGATCTAATTCACTTTTAATATTTTTCTCACAGAATAAGCATATAATATTTACATAGTACATTAACTAAATACAGATGAGCTTATTCTTAATATTATGATATCATTGCCATTTCTGAAAGTTTGGCTTTTTTTATCTTTTTTCCCTTTTGTTTTGCCATCTTAAGTTTTTTAGCATCTTTCTTCTTGACTTGTTTTTTCATCTTTTTCCGTGCACTTCTCTCTGGATTCACAACAGCCTAGAAAGAAACAAGTAACAAAAAAGAAAGCAAGTTATAGTGAACAACTAATGCATATTAACCTTTTAAATAGCTTACTGCTTGAACTTTCAAGATAAAAGACTTTCAAAACTATTACCATAAATTTTGGTGAGATGATGTGTGGCAAGCAGTTCAATATGGTAAATGAGGAGAGGTAAAAAAAAAAAGTCACTGTTTAATATATACATACAATAATAAATAAACTTGATATTCCAAGAATTGTTTAATCTACACTTTAATCAACATGTGTTATTGGCTTATACTAGTTTCAGAGAATTCTACTTCTCATCAGTAAACCTATAGTGACTACAAAGCATGTTCGCACCAACAATATGGTTAATACATACAAACTAAAAGCTCATTTATTTTAAGTTAGTCAAAAAAGGAAAGAGTACAACCATACGAGATATTACTCTCGATATTGAGCAAATAAGATACATTCATAATAAAACATACTTCAAGTGTTTTTTCTCTCTTTCTTTTGGTACGTTTCTGAACTATGAAGCTTTGAACTTGGGCATACTCTCGTGTGAAGATTTCTACTCCCACTACACCACGCATTAGTTCTACCACCTCTTGGGCCAACGTCTTTAGTTCTGGAACTAATGTGAGAGAGAGAGAGAGAAAGCAAAAACTGAACATATATTACCATTAACAAAGACACACAATTTGCAAAGTGCTGCTTAAAGAAGAGAATAATTTTGACTCTCTGTAAAAAAAAGAAAAGAAAAAAAAGATTGTACTCAGCAGCTGTAGTGTACATGTTACTCTTACCAGACAAAACAATTATGATACTTTAAAGGGGTACCATAACTAAAGAAGTCTACATTTTCATAATAGGAAATATGATAAAGAGATGGGTAGCTTTTGGTATATGTACCATAAAACTGGAACTGTTTTGGAATTTATGGTAAACTTCCATAGTTTCAGTTTTGTTGATCACTAAATGAAAAACTCATTAATCCAGAAGAATCTATCTTTGTCCATCAGCAACTAAGCCTGCAAACATCAACCGTTGTCCCCGCCTTGCAGGATGTGTTTCTCTAATATAAGATTAGGAAAAACGTTCCTTTTTGCAAAATATTTCTTTCAAATGTGTATTTTTCAAACTTACATCACTGAAATGTTTGCTATAATATTTTCACTTGCATACTTACCAATTTTAGCCCTCATGTCTGGTGAAAATATGTTGTATTTACCACATTTACTCCTCAACAGGGTACAATAAACTGCAGATAATTATTAATTTACAAATTTCCTTATATTCTCATTAGAATCATTAATAAGCAGCACAGTCCTCTCTTGTCTTTTAAAATAAATAAAAGTGAAATGATAGTTTTTAACTTACAGAAAAGGGGTATTGGTAACATTCATCCAGACCAAAACCACACATTTAACATTTTATTTCCTCTTCATGAAGTGAAATACTTGAACTTGTCCCCAGGTTGTTCATCAGGTTTACTTGTGTTAATGTCTCAGATCAATTGAGGTTACTTTTGGGTATTTTTATATGGATATTTATTTTTGAGTTCTAACTTTTATGAACTGGCAGTACTTGCAAAATTATTATAAACTAATTCAAGTAAAAATGTTTAGATTTATGGTATATTTATACATTTTTGAATAATGAAATAACCCGCAAATTATATGGACTACTACAGTTTAAGATACACTAAATGTTAAAGTTGATATCTGTATACTATGGTAATTCAAAGATAAAACAAGTTAAAGTCATGCAGTCTCCACAAAAACAAGAAGAAATGACATGATGCTGAAGTCAAGATGAAAATAAAACATTTGTTTGAGGTAAAATGGCAACTGAACATCATAGTAATAGGACTGATGCAAATAAAAAAGAAAGTGGAAAGAAATAAACTAAAACAAATTATCTTTGAAAGGAGTTGAATGAAAGTACACATGATCAGCAGGTAGAAAACACTAAAACAAATTATCTTTGAAAGGATTTGAATGAAAGTACACATGATCAGCAGGTAGAAAACACTCTCAAATTGGGAAATGAATTATTATCTTCAAAGGTTGAAATGAATCTGATCTGAGATTGTCAAAACACAATACCCATTCTCCCTGTTTCTGACCAGTCAGAAAATGTGTACTGGAATACATACACTAGGCCAAGTATGATAAAATGCACTATCCCATGAAACAAAGTTCCTTGATCTATTAGACTGCTGAATTTAATATATTAACTCATCTGGATTTATGATGTTCCAAATAAGATCTCGGAAAGACCAAAAAACTTTTGGTAGATATGAAATATAAATAACAAGAGAGTAAGTTATGAGGTAGTTGCATACTACAGAATTTAAGAAAAGTAATATTAACACTCATTTTTGTAAAAGTTGATGGACTGGACTTAGATTAAATTGTTTGTATGGTTTCTCTACAGCAATAATGTTTGTGCCCTTGAACAAATGTCAGTAGCTTGATATATTAAATGTAAGTTACTTAGGAACACATTATAAATATTTTGTTACTTCTACAACAATAGATCAAACCAACATGCAATAAAATTACTACTTACAAGAATGGAAATATCCAGCAGCAAAAGTTATTTACTCACTTAAGTACAGATTCTTGCTGAAATCTTTGCCAATATTAAAGATGCGGCACACAGCCATGCGGTTCATTTTAAATTTGGAAGCCTGCCACGTCAATTCCTATTCATTTGATCATTACTTTGCACTTAATTCATAAAATATGTCATCTACTTTTTATTGTATGCAGAAATATTCAAATAAAGGAGGATATGTACTTCCTTATGATTGTTAAAAAACAGACAGCCTTGTTGCTACATTACATGACAAATGAAACCCATACAGAACTTGTGTAATCTGCTATTCTTATTTCAAAGTTAAAAGCTGTATTGAAGTTAGTTGGGAAAGCTATATGTATATTTCAATGTTTTCCATAAAACATGACTGCATTTTAATAAACAATGCAGTAACAGCAGAAATGTTCATTACATTTTACGTGAGGCTTGATTACCAGGTAATGCATCGAAGTTGCATCATTTTGTTAAAGTGTTATAGGCTAAAAATACAGTATAAAGTTGGCATATACAAAGCTGTTACTAGCCTTCATATATGTTTTTATAGGCAGCATTTTAAGTAATTTAATTTTAAGTGTGTTTAATAATTAAGAGCTCAAAGACTTGAAATGATATGACTGTATAACTTTGAACAAATCCTATTACTGTGCAAGATTCCTTGCATTTTATCTCAATAGAAAATGTCATTTCTTCTAATTTTTTGTTAGGGGGACTACCATATGTCTTACATTTTGTAAAATTATACCCGTGACATCAATTAATACAGCAGTCTTTAGATCAGAATTAAAAGATTTTATTACTTGAAAATTTCCTAATCTAATATTTTAATGCGCTATATATAAACATTAAATGACAACATTAAACTATAAGGTAATGAGCAAACTGCACTAATAGGCTAATCTGTCATATAACTAACTGTAATAACATATCTGATAAAATGAATAATATTGTGTTATTACTTCTTACCTAAGAAAAAACCTTAAAATTACTTAAATAAAATTGACAATATTCACTTGCTTATTCACACCCTAACAGATGTTCATGAAAATTGATGGTATATGTATTGCCTAGACCAATACCATGTATGCCATATCCCAGCTAGCCTGATGAGTCCTAGTACTGGGTGAAAAGCCTCATTAGCACTAGATATGACAGATTTGGTGTGGTTGACATATTATAACATATTCTATTTCACTTTCACTCATTGGTTCTTAGAATAAAAAAATGTTTTACAAAAAACAAAAAATGAGAGCTTTCCTTCAGATTTAACTGATCTTTAGTGCTAGAACCTACAGTTAAACATGAATGGTTTCTCTTTGTCTTTTTTTTTTACATTTGTATTATACTTGAACTGCCTTTATAGGTCATTTCACATGTGAAAGTTAGTGATGATTAATATACAATAAACCACACATTTGTCAAGTAACTAGTTTTGATATTCACTTGATGATGTAAGATACTTTGTTTGATGAAAAGTTAATTCATGTTAAAAAGTAAATTCTTTATGTTTGTACTTTCTTTCATTGTAATCAGTGAAACAACTTTAGTAAAGTTCAAAAGCTCATGTGAAGAACTAATAGCAAAAAGGTTATATGATTTTATAATTTGAGGGGTATATACCCATGTACAAGAATATTACTTGATTTTTAATAATAGTACTTTCATTTTAAAGCTGATTTATTCCTTTTTTTTATGGCAAATTTTAAGTTTTTCATATCTAATCTAGACTTTGGGCATCAACCAATGTTACATGTATTGAGACAAAGTAAAAATGAAATTATTTTACCTGTTTGTAAAGAGTTATCTGATAGTTCTCGACACAGACTTGGTAGCATTAGTGGAAGCCACCTAGTCAACTCCTCTTGCGTCATGTCCACAGAAATAGCTGCAAGCCACTTGAAAACACAGGAGCGCTACAAACAGATTGTGTATGAAGAAAAGTGCCTTGTAGACAGTATTAGCGTATTAGCACATATACAAAAGAAGTTTTACAAAAATCTGTTTTTGTTGTACAAATTTTAGAAATTTAAATATAAGAACATCCATGATACACATTGTAATTATCATAATTAATATTTATCAATATAATTTTAATACTGAAATTAATACTATACTCATTACATACAGTATTAAAGTAGTACATTACCTACACTGCAATAATTAGAAGAGAAACAAATAAACAGTCTAGGTTTAAATTTCCCTTCCCACAAATTTCTGTTAATTTAATAGAATTGGATAATGAAATTGTATTAAGGTATTTTTCATTCAAATTCATGAATTAACAACACACTATAAAAAAAAACTGATATTTTGTGGTATTTATTTAAATAAATTAAGTGAAATTATAAAACCAGTTTTGATGAAGTGGAGGAAGTTTTTAGAAGCATTTTTTTAATATCTAGAGATAAATGTTCTGGGGATATACCAATCCACAATTGTAGTAAAAACAAACAAAATTGTCACCCAACCCAAATCATTGTATTAATTATATTTAATAATTAGGAATATAATGAAGACCTGCTGAACAAAACAACAGTAATTCAGAAATCATGATCATCTTAAAACCCAATCAATCACCACTGAAAGTGCTTATGTATAAGCTAATAAAGCCTGTTTTCAAACAGGAAACAAAGGAAGTTACACAAATGAGAAACTATATGAAACAAAGGTTCTACTTTGTAATGTCATTGCTAGAATAAAAATGTTACTGGTCAACAGTAAGGAAAGACTATGACTGGTAACCTACATTAAAACTGAGATGAGTACAATTAAGGAAAACCTAGATCATGACTGGTAATCCACATTAAAATTAAGATTAAAATAGTTGAGGAAGACCTCGTACATGACTGGTAATCCACATCAAAACTGAGATGAGAACAATTGAGGAAGACCTAATACATGATTGGTAATGCACACTAAAATTGAGATTAGAATAGTTAAGAAAGACTCGGCACATTACTCGTAATCCACATTAAAGTTGAGATGAGACCCTCATAGATTAGAAAGATGCTCTTAAGAAGTTAAATATGATGATTTAATCTGACAATGTCTAGATGGAAGATTTGAAGTACAGTGTTGAAGTAGAAAATGTATACATGATAGGAGAACCAGAGGCTTTAACGGAGTAACCCAATAGAGAGAATGAAGTACATTCATCTAGAAGTTGTCTTCCTGAGACAACTTTTCAGGTTCAATACTAGGAGGAAGGTCTCAGCACAGAAACTGAAATATAGTCTCAGGAAGAATGAAGAACTCCAGACAGGCAGAAGTCCATAAAAATAATTACTTCATGGAAGAATCAAGGTTTTATGGACCACAGTAAAGCCACTTTAAAACAAATTATACTGATGAGATACATTACATAAAATATCTTTATGTATATTTAAATAAAAAGTCAGAAATATAGAAACTAACTTCTATATTCCTGGACAATTGCATACACTAACAAAGCAGAACAGATATAAGACAAGACTACAAAAAAAGTGGTAATTTGTAGTGAATTACAAGTAGTAGCAAACATACCAATTATGAAATATTCAAAAAATATTGAAAACTTAAGATGAGAATATCCCCCTAAAAAAAACAAAATAAAAAACACTTTGTGAACCAAATTTTGTTTTGATGCAAGAACTAATTAATCAGGAAATTTACAACTTATGGAACTCAAAAAGGTACTGAATAGGTGTGATCTTGTAGAAGTTCTATCACTTGCTCCAGAATACAGATGCAAGTTCCCAAAATGCAATCTGCCAAAACTACTACTAAAGGAGCATTGATAAACAAATGAACCTCTTTAGAGAGAAATGTAGAGAAAGCATCTTTATTTTAGTAGGTTGCTAACTCTAATTGGAGAGATTGCCTCAAGAAACTAGTCATTTTAAGGCATTTGTATTGCACCAACAATTAAATTAGTGGAAGAATACTCTTCTCTCAAGTACTTTTCAAAGTTGTGATTCCAAAAACCATAATAACCAGAGTTGAATCTTTAACCTCCCAATCAGGATAATTAGATGCCTAAAATACTGAGTGAAAGTTTTAATTCAATAACAACTAAATTTATAGATATGATGATATCAAGTGTCTTCTAGGTGCCTTACAAAACACATTTAAAAAGGACCATCCAATTGTCTAAATAACAATAGAACTCAGAATCATTCTAATGCAGATAGAATGTCAAAAAAATAAACGAAAAAGATGAAAATACAAGATACAGATGTCAGGCTGAAAGGAAGAGCCTCAAATTAAAAAATCTTATTCTTGAGGACAATATGTTGACAATGATGAGAAAATGGATTAAATAGAATGTGAAACCAAATATCCAAAATGTTAACTTTGAAAAACTCTTGATATCCTCCAGCTTACATATATACAAAAAAGCCTGAAAAAACACAGAGAGAGAACAATTCAGCTTGTAGCTTTATACGTATGTCTAGCTAACTTTTCACACAGTTCTGAAGCCAGAGGAACCAAACTTAAGGTGGCCCAGAGGTTTTCTTATCTTTTTGATGTAGCAGGGGGACTAAAATGCCCAAGAAGATCACCCAGGCATTATGGGGGGGGGGGGGTCAAAGATGTTCGAAAGTGGTGGTGGGCTTATAGTAGCTATAGAAGTAATTAGGAATAATGGAGAAGCTGACCAGAACATTGAGACACTTGAGAACCTGAAGGGGCCTTTTAACCTTGCAGCACGACATAGGTATTTTATACTAGTAAAGGAAAAAGTATGAAGCATTAACTTGAAGCACCCAAGTACCTTGAGCCAAATACAGGCAGAAATAAACAACTGGTTCAAACCATAGCTTCAACAAACAGTCTTTAATACCATAGCAGTTAATATCAAAGGAATTATAGAGTTCTTAACACCAATTTCTCTGAACAAGAAATCAGACTAGCACTGAGAGGCAGACATTTCAGAACTCTTTTGAAGTATAATAAAAAACAAAGGCAGGTAATACAGCAATATTTATTATAATTCAATTAACATTTAAAGGCCTAGTTAACATGAAGAGCTGGTGTTACAACGTACTTTTATGCATATATATATATCATTGATAAACTGCATTTCTTCACAAAATATACTAATATTGACAAAGATTCAAATGCATATCAATAGAACTTTGAAAGAAAACAAGAGTATAATATTTCAACACCACTGTACTAACAGCACTCATGTTCAACACAGAATAATAATTTGAAACATTACTTGTATGTAGAAAAGAAATACTAACCTTTAATGTGATGGTAGGGTTATTAGCAACCTCCATTTTAGCCTCTCGGGTAACACGTCGAATCAACCACCGGAGAGAAACAATTACAGATTTATGGACAACTTTCTCATTTTCTATGCTGTCCTCATCCTGTTCTTCATCATCCTTTTGTTTAATACTGCTATGGTGACCATTTTGTATACTATCATGTGATAGGTGACGTAGAACCTTGGCTAGATATACCAGATTTCTAACCACCTACAATTGGTTAAAGAATACATATTTTATTTATAATGATTAGTTATTTTTGCGAGAAACAAATGATCAAAAGCTTAATTACAGTAGATGCCTGTTAAAGTATTTCCAGATCCTCACTCTGTTTGAAAATCTACTCTTATACAAGTAATTCATACCTTAAACAAAAGTACATTATTTCTAGTTTAATATTTAAAAATAAAACTCAGTAAAAGTTGTCTGTGTGAAATGTTGACTACAGACTTCTATTTAAATAATTTTAATTTCATTGTATTTTCACATTCTAACACCGTAGCTATGTTTAATCTAATTTCAATTCTGCTGTAACTGGAAACAGTTACATTTTTGGCAAGTCGAGTTCCTGAAATATTTCAAACATTTCTGTACGTTACATCTCCATGAATTGTACAATTTAAGCATTTATAAATGTTGCATAATATCTTTCAATGCTGTTAAACACTCATTGGGTACAACTGTTCCTGATCATGAGTGCAACTGGCTATGAACATAACCAATTAAAAATGTTTTGGGTAAAATATATTAACATTTACTTTGATAAACAGAATTTGGACATGCTTTCATAATAACATACAGAATCAACACCTATGGTATGAAGTATATGATTTATTGTACTTTTTCTTGCAAGCACTTGTATCTTTCCTGTGTTTTTATTTGATGATCCTATAAATGATTATGTTATTTTCCTTTAACAATGCCATATGGTATTTTGATCCTTCTACAATTGGACTATGAAATTGTTTAATCAATTTGACAAAAATGGAAATTCAAGTGAATGCCAAAATCCTTACAACATACATTATAACAGAATAATTTTTAATATTTATCAACATATATATACAGTAATTCGTTTTTGACAATGTAACTCTTAACACACACTTTTTTCTAATATCAAACATTATACTTACCTGTTCTGCTAAGGTTTCTGTCAAGTGAATACTTTGAAACTGAGAACAGAAATCTGCTGCAAGATCACGTATCTGAAAGTTTAAAAACAATCTTAATAATTTCTTTTACTACAAGTTATAGCTTTTATAGTAAGAAAGAATATTTTTAGAACAGGTACAACAAAGGTAATGCAAATGTCAATCCAAATTGTCACACTCCACACTAACACGATGTTTCAAGCAAATTATTCCATTTTTTAACTAACTTTATTGTAAAACTTTGTACAATTCATTGAAATAAAAGATGAGTTTCTTAAGATGTCAATCATTACTTAAAATGCAGGAATATGGGAGAGCATTAAGAAAATTACAGAAGGCAAATTTTAAAACCCAGAACATTACCTAATCAAAGGACATCTGTTAAAGATTCCCCAAACCTTTTCCATACCACCCATTTAACTTACTCACATAATAATGTACCCTTTATGTTACCTATGAATAAACAATACATGAAGAGTAATACTGCAGCTATATCAAACATTTAAATTAGAATATAATTTAGAAGACAAAGTAATTAAATTAAATTAAATTCATAAAGCAATTCCAATGCCATCACCTGTTCTGAAACTCAAATGTACTTTACCAGTTTTGACTGCCTATAAAGCCTATGAAAAGTTATTACCATCTTTTGACACAATAAGAGTATGTTGCTCATTCACAGATCTTTTGAATTCATTCTACAAATTTAGGAGTGTATATAGACATTTACAAGCCAGATTTTCAATGCAAAATTACTCGATCAATTTTCTGAGCCTTATTGTTTGCATGCTGTAACTAAGCCACTCAGTTTCCATACTGCAGTATTACTTTTTCACACCATTTTTAGTGCTATTGCTTGTAATTTATTTTTCTTCCAACCACCAGTCAGTGAATATAGTAATGAACATGACTTACAAGAATATTTTTGTTATACCTTTGAAAGTATAAATGAATATTAAGGTTAAATATAATAGACTCTGCTATTTTGATAAAGATAGTAACAAACATATGTTGTTACACTTCTCCCAAACTTTGTATGTAATATTCTTTAGAGTAATTATTATTACTGGTCCATTAAAAATGCATCCTTCACTTACTGATATATAAGTAATAGCTTTTATTCTCTTTACATTAACAATGAAAACATGTAGATGTTCATAGTCAGGATTTACCTATATCATAATCAGGAATATTACTAACTATTGTTCTCTGAATCATTATAGTCTGACAAATCAAGGTCATAAATGTAACTCACGTCTGACAATTTGGAATAGTTATAAACTTTACATTAGTTATTTAATACATTAACATTCCATGATTATTAACTTGAACTGAAAACCTGCACGGGACAAACATTAGCTATTTAATGTTCACTTAAAACAGCTTGTACAAAGAAATGATAATGTCCAAAAACTTCAAAACTGTTGACTATTTCATTTTTATTTATACATTTAAAATATAAAAGAAAGTTTGACATCCTTGGTATATTTGATAATAACATAATAAGTTAACCCTACAGTTAAAATCATGATTATGGGACCACTCTAGAATTAACTTACTTTCTGCCTGGTATCTTGAAGTAAAAACTCATTAGCTTTAGGATCTGGTGTTGAAGCAGATTTAACAACTTCTTCAACTGGGTAGGCAGCAAACAAATGACCAAACAGTTGAGCAGCACCAAGGCGAACCCACGAATGAGGATGTAGAATATGTTGTTGAAGATGTTCTAAAAACAATAAATAATAGTGACATAATTCTTAAAATAAAACTCACAACCTAATGGTAAACATTAATAATGTAATTAAACACTCAAAATGAAAAGATATAGTGCAAAACAAATGGTTGATATATCACCATTTCACACTGTGTAATATAAAATATTTCTATTAAGGTAAATGAAATAATGATCATCCAATAGAAATGTCTTGTAATAAACTCTAGTTTGCTTTAAACAAAGTTAAGAATAATAGAATATTTCTGTTTATATACAATAAATTTAAATAATGTGGTGAAGAAATGAACTAACCAGCTTTAATTTGATAAAGAGGAACCCACTTTTTAAAAATAAAGTTTGAAGATGGCTTGAATGGGTAGTGAGAGAAACTTTATTACAAATGTACAATGTTTCTACAAGCTTATATCATTATCAGGTACAAGTAGTTTAGAAATACACAGGAATATTTATACAGTATGGAACAAAAAGATCACATGACTGGAGATTGCTTAATAGCTTAGTAAATATATCTTGGTACCCCGGGGAGCAGCCATCTTAACACATTCACTGCCACCAGTAGTATAGTATTAATAATTCCTACAGTAGTGCCAACCACACTTTTCTTTTCGTACATAACCTAGGTGTCTGAGATTTTTATTTATACTATGTTTGATATCTCATTGAAGCCACTTGTAATATGTGACCCACCGATGGGGAACATGGCGGCAAATGTGTTAATTGAACAAAACAGCCCTACTCTAAACCAATGTTTATTTTGAGTTTGTTGAAGTTTGGTTCTTTGTTTTCACTGAAAACATCAACAAACCTAGAATAAGGAAAGCCATCTTAACCCTATTGCGATGGGTCATGTGTCAAAGGCTATGTCATCGTGTTTGTTGACTTGCATTCAACATTTTATTGAACTACTATTTTATGAACTTATGTCAATATGTTTGGTATCAAATTGTAGATTATAATTCAGGTTTAGTATTACACATCAATTAATTTTTTAATTTAAAAGTAAATAATAAAAAAACAGCTAAACATCAATTTTTGTGTGTCACGTGTTATGTTGAATGCAGCACTGGTTCAAATTATATAAAGTCTATAGTTTCTGTCCTTTTCTTTGTTAAGGATGATGCCTTGAAGCAACAATGAAAAATGGTTTTCGACTCTCTCGCTACAAGGTCAGTCGAATTGACTGACCACGTAACCTTTTTTATACTCATTTTAGTTTCCATACTATTAATTTAAATAAAGAGTATCTTCACAAAATTTGGCAGATTTTAGAAAAAATTACAAGTCTTTTACAAACAAAAAGTTAAATTTTTTAATGAATTATTTTTACTACAGATTTGTCCGTGAAAAATATATATGGTCGCTTTTTTGACTATTCTGAGTGCAAAGTGATTTCCACATTAACCCTCTCCAGATGGGTCACAGGTCAAAGGCCATGTCATCGCATTTGTTGACTTGCATTCAAAATTTTATTGAACTACTATTTCCTGGATTTATGTCAAATTTGGTATCAAAATGCAGATTATAATTCAAATTTTAGTATTATACATTATTTAATTTCTTAATTTAAAAGTAAATATTAAAAAACACAGATAAATATCAATTTTTGCGTGTCACAGGGTATGTTGAATGCAGCACCGGTTCAAATTAGATGTCAAGATACTAAATCTATAGTTTTGTACGAGTTAGGACTAAACTACTGATATTGACAAGCTAGAATATACAATAAGAACCTATCTTTTCTATTTGCCAAGATATCACTTGTGTACTGAATGAAACACACCTTTTTCCATTTTTGGAAATGGTCCCTTATATATATATATATATATATATATATATATATATATATATA